TACCAATGCGCCGCTTCAAGCGACACGTCGATGTGCGCACCGACACACAGCATTGCAAATGTTGCCAACACCGGGGATGAGCCAGAGCCCAGGGCTGCTTTCGCTGAATCGTTGTCTATAAACCACAGCACCTTTCGGCCTTTAAGAAACTCGGCCCACACGATCTTGGCGACGAGAACTGGCAAGACTTCCGCCTGGCCTACAAGCTGACGTTTGCCATGAGCTCCCCAAGAATCTATGAACGCTTTCGGGATTAGCTCTCCAAAGAAGCGGTGCACTCCCCTGACTGGGTCAATCAAGACTCCACCGTGAGCTGTAAAACCCTCTGCCTCCTCATGGGCGCCATCCGTGAAGACTATGACCGGTCGGTCACTCGCATCAGTTTTGATTTCTCGCGGACGCATGTCCTCAAGCAACCCGATAGTGTGCTGTAGCAGAACGCAATCATCCGAGCTAAGCTTCAACACCCCGCCGCCTTTCAAGTGTTTCGAAAGGCACTTGACGGCCATCAAAGCAACGCGCCCGAAGGTATGGGTCGAGGCATACAAGAGCCGCCCTTTCAAGCTTGCCAGCACTGCAGGTTGCACGAAACCTTCAGCGCAGACTGAGTTCACCAGCGTTCTCAAGGATTCAAGGCGTCCTTCCTTGTTTGCTATCTCCAGGATGCCTGAAGGGGCACGCACAAGTGAGAAGCTGGCTCCCAGCATGGCAAAGACCTTGGCAAATGGCAGGGACTTTTTGGGGTCCTCGGCAATCTTCCACCCTAAAATGCGCAAGACAAGCTCGGCAGTGGTTTTGGCAGACTCGGCTAACGCTTCAGTTTCCAATTGGCAGAAATCGTCATAAAAGCTAGTCACTATGAGCTTTACGATTCTCAAGAGGATCAGGCGCAACGCACGAGCAACCCGATTGAAGCTGGTGACTGAGTGGATCGCTCCGAAAGGAGCGTGGAGAAGCGGAAATACTTGTGTTTCTTGCAAGTAGGGTCCCACACAGCCAGCACGGAAGCCCACGCATCCAGCGGTGAGGAGGCCAGCTGTTTGTACGCTGCTTTCAAGTCGAGCGCTCTGCCAACGATCTGTCGATTCCCTGGGCTCTTTCTCCGGATTACTGCATCCATGAAGCACTTTGCAGTCTGAGCGACAACATCGATGTCCTGAAGAAGTATCTTTTCGGAGGATGTGCAAGTGGCATTAACCATCGACGCTCTCAGGTCGTCAATGGCACGGGTTTTGTCTCCCTGTTGCACACCGAACCTTCTGGAGGGTATCCAACCATCAGGGAACAACTGATCAAGATCTTCTTCGGATAGTGGACCATGCAGCCACCCGGAACCGTCGGAAGCCTGTTCGACGGCCTCGTCCCAAAGGGCCCTGGCAACTTCATCCGATTCTCTACAGTCGGGCGCTCGGAGCATTCCTTTTACCCAAGGTGCTGCAGCTTTCAACTCGGCCTCTGCCATAGAAGCATGCTTGAAGGCAACTGGGAACTGACCGCTGGGCTTGGCGTAGCCAAGCACCCTGAAGCCATCACACATCTCCTGAAACAAAGAAGAGTCATCAACCCCCGCGGCAACTGCAAGCTTACGAAAGAGCAAAAGCCTTTTGCCTTTAAGGACCTGAGCAACTTCGGGGTGCAAGCTGCAGTGAAGAGTTTCTTCTTCAGCTCGCAGTTCGGCCTCCGATTGAAGAATGGCTTTCAAGGCGTTAGTCCTGAACGCACACACTTCCACAGCAGGCGTCCCGGACACCCAGTTGATGTTCTCCAAGGCTGATGACTCGCACCCAGACAGGACATTGCACGGGTGCTCGGCTTTCATGGCTTGCTGCAGAAATTCATCTTTGGTCCAAGGAACCCCGAATGCAACAGGTTTGGTCTCGGGAGGAGGTTTGGTGTCGGAAGAAACCCCGAATGCAACAGGTTTGGTCACGGCAAGCTTTGTGGGACTGCTTTGTTCAGTCGGCGCATCTAAACCCTCCGACACGCTCCAATTCCCCGGCACACTACAATCCCCACGTAACCCATGTGCCGTCATGGCATCCAGCTTACCCGATCGAAGCAAGACGGCTCCGGAAGGAACCCCAGGTAGGGAGGCGCACCCTACTGAAGGCACCTGATCAGGCGGCTCGAAATCGGCGGGGACTGAGGCTCGAACCACTAACTTAAACTCGGGGACAACCGGGGGGACGGCACTAAGCTTAGTAAACCCTTGCAAGGCTACAGATGCGGGCCTCACCACAGGCGGCATCAGAGCTCCGGCCACGCAATCAACAGACAACTGAGCGATCATGCGACAGCACTCGGTAGGCAGCCGTTTGGCATCAGGCGCGGGTTGTCCTGGAGCAGTCCAAGGTAGATGGGTATGTTGTCCGTCACATTGTCGCTGGAGGCGACACAGAGCAGGCACATTGTGCAAGAAAATGACACTGCGTTTGCGTTCGGCCCCAAACATGCACAGGTCAACAGGAGTTTCATGATGGGGGAGGCCGACGACTTGGGCCCGAACGGCCTTCCAAAACCGGGCCGAAGCCGGCAGGCAAAAGCAAAAAGGAGTCGGGTATGCAGTCAATGTGGCCAGAAGCAAGATGAAGAACTGTTCCAGAGCAGCGCTCAGCGGCCCGGGTTTAGTAGCATGGCTCAAAGGCGGCATGACGAACAAGAATGCTACGGCTTTCTCTTTCAACCGCTGCAAGCAAAAGTTGACATCCTCAGCTTTGCAGACGTCCCATCGCATGACCGGGACAGAACAAGCTCGATCGGGTGAATGGTGCAAGGCCAAAGTTCGGAGCTGTAGGTCGCGAAACGCAGCGGACATGCCCGGAGGCGAAGCGAAGATTTCAAGACAAAGTTGCCCTCCGGGAGTGGCGGTAGGGAGAGGCAGTGGCTCGGGAGGTGGGCGTACTCGGAAGCCAAGCTGCTCCAGCTCCGTAGTTTGTTCAACCGTCAACTCGCCCACTGCAGCTATGCAAAAGGCGACCAAGACGAGACGACGACCTTCCCAAGGCAGCGTCAGGTGCTCCTCAGCGCGAGCATGGAGCAAGCAGGGTTGCACTCGAGGGTCGAGCTTGATCCCTCGGAGAGCAGCAGTACCATCATGCACAACCGCAGGTCCATCGGGGCGAATCACAAAGATTTCGCCACCCGAGAAGTCGCTGATCGCAACAACAACGAGGTTCGGATCAAAACTGTTCCGCAGGTCTTTGTGCCGAGGGGCTTGCACATCGCAAAACAGGACCACAGAAGTCCACCGATGGCAGGGCCGGACCTGCCGGATAAATGCATTGAGCAGTTGAACTGAGATTGGAAAAAGGTGGTTGTTGCGTCGTAGCCCGAACCGATGGTCGCGAGCCCAACATCCACAGCCAAAAGCTGAAGGAACATCAGTGCCTCTCGAAGCTTCCTCGAGCGGCAGCAAGTCAAAAAGGTGCTCGACATCTTGTCGTGTAGGCGGGCGAGCGATCAGCACCCGCCGTGCGAAGATTTCTGCCGCATGCTGCTGCAGAGTAATCCCGGGAAAACATAAGTCAAGGCAAAGCTCGAAATGGTCACAAGCAGGAGTAGGGCACACCGAGCTACCAGAAGTCTCGACAGCAGCTTCGACACCAAAGCCGGCCACTGAGGAGGCCTCCATTACTGCACCTAGTCAAGCATGCTTGATGAAAGGATGGGCTTTGAAACAGCCCGGATGGCAGCACAGGTGCTTGCCCTTAGGGCATTTCGCCACATCGCCATGCTCGCATTTGCCAAGGTTGTAGTTCCAACAGAGAGGCGCTCCGCTGGCATCAACGGGAACACCACCCTTGAGGGCTGCGGGCATATAAGGAGTTCTTTTCTTCGGCCGGATGTCGGATCGCCCCCCCACAGGTTGAGGAGGAGGTGGAACAGACCGATCCCCGTTCTTGCGCTTGCGAGGGTTAGGCTTGGTCTTGGCTGCGGTCTTAATGGCAGGAGCGGCACTCCCTCGGGTCCTTGGAATCAAGAGTTGCTCCACGCAACGCATCTTAAGAACTACAGGCAGATGTCTGTCCAAGGGAAGGCCTCCGTCAGAGCCCAGAGTAAAACCCGCTCGACATTGATCACTGAGCCGGAGGTGGATTTCTCGATCACACATGGAGAGCTGAGTCAATGTGACCCTCTGGTACCCCTCAGGAGCATCCTTGTAGTAGGCGTCGAACAAAAAGTTGATCAATGCCTCGTGAACTTCGAAGGTCATGAGCTCGGCAATCGCATAACAGACTCCTCGACGACGAAGTGCATGATGAACCATGAGGTCAGTGGCCACATTCGCCTCAAGGCGAGGAGCATCCTTGTGCTCGCGCACCACTCCACTCTTGTCCGGCTTCCAAGCTTTCAGCAGATTGTCCTCTGATGCCCCAACCACTTCTTGATCACGGGTGGTCAGCCTCGACCATTCGACGTAGCGAAGTCGCCCTTCATCCAGCATGGCGGCGAAGAGATTGATGCTCGCGTGGCTGGGCTCCAGAATGCCTTCAAGCTTCAAAGGTGCGATCTTCGGAGTAAGCACTTGGAGCCGTGCCCCGATCTCAGCAACCGGCAATTTGCGGGGTGCGGACTCGTCTGTCCCATCGACCTTGCGTTTAAGGTCTGCAGCAGTCAAGGTCCAAGCCTCCCAATGGAGCCGTCGCAGAGCGGCATCATGGGACGCGTGGGTATCTCCCAACACAGCTTCCAGAACCACCCGAACAGCCGCTTCGGCTCCCGCAGTGCCCGGCGTGGCTGTCGGTGCATGAGCAAAGTTCGCAAAGGTTCCCCACCCTCGGAGGTCCAGCCGATCAATCACCTCGCCGGGCAGGCCAACCGCCAAGCACCTTTGGCGGAAGATGGCCTTGGAGTCAACATAGGACATGGCTTTCGCTATGTTTGCCTCGCAAAACTCGAGCCTTAACTCGCACGACGTCGCTCACGAGTACCGGGACCAGTGCTAGGTCCCGTCAGCAGGCACAGCTCAAGCTCTTGTTTCAGCTGGTACAAATGTCGCCTCATTTGAAGCAAGACAAGCACGGGTTCAGGATGACGTTGGGTCGGGCTCCCAGCTCAGTGTGCGCCGCGGTGGCCAACCGCCCACACAGAAACACAGTAGCATCGTCATCATTAACTTGCCGGGCCCGGTGCACAGTCTTACGTGCTTCATGCAAGTAGTATACATAACCATCCTGGCTGGAGCTATCGAGAGTTTCGCTATGAGCGTGTATCTCGGCCATTTGCCCATCAAGCTCCGACTCCGCACTATCGGAGTCGTCATCTGGCTCTTCGCTGGACTCAGAGTCGGAGGTCGAATCTGCTAGAAGGCGGCTCACTTTTTCAGCCCGCATTCTTTTAGGCTCACCCCCATTGCGTAAGAGTGCCAGAGCCGAATCATAATCCTCAGCACCATGCCACCTCTGGAGGCGCGGCTCGTCAGGCGAGAAGTACCCTTCCTTGATCATCTCAAGAGTATTGGCCAACCTAAAGATAAGCGGGGCGGCTGCATCATGGGCGTATTCCAACTCTGATTTGCCCTCAACGCCGACATGATAACCTGCTCTTCGGCACATGGCATTCGTCGCTGCCCCTTTGGTGAGCCAAGCTAGGCACGTAGCTTTGCAGCTGTGCGTTGCAATGTTAGCCAGCTCCTCAAAGGTACACACATCCGAGAGGATTTCTCGCATCCAGACCGAAGCGTCGGAAGTCCGGAGCTTTCGTTCTGAAAAACCCCCGTCTGCAGTCGGGCACCTCATGAGCGGTTCATCCTCTGAAGCACTCAAACCGAGTGCAGCACGATTTTCCAAGTAGGATGTGGCCCAACACTCAGACCCGTGCACTCCTGGACTTATCGCAAAGACAGGAATGAGCCGAAACCGAGTTGCCCGCCGGAGAGAGCTGGTCTTGGATCCATACAAGCGAAGAGTGAGGATGTTGTGAGCCTCACCCTTTTCAAGCTCCGGTTCTTCAAAGCACATTTGCCCATCACTGAACCTGAGCCTGCCATGCACAAGTACACACAAGAATCCAGCAAAGATGGAAAGCGCACTCGGTTCGCCACATGCAAGTTGCTCCAACTTTCTCAATTGATGAACTTTCAAGGGCCATTTCTTGACGATGGGTCTTTTCTCCACCCCGGCGATCGTAGATCCAATGACCCTGGGTGACAACATGGAGAGATCACCGGCACACTGCAGCAGGCTATGCGCAAAGCGGATGCTCTGTATGAAGCGTTCGCCCCTGGAAGCAGGAGCTCCCTCGGCTCGCAAGTAGCATGTATACTGGTACAAGCGATCTTCACTGGCAGGGAAAAGTTGGTTCTCACCAAAAGTTGCTCGCTGCCATCGGGCGTACTGAAGGAGGCTGCCTGCTCGACTACGCAATGTTGAAGTAGCCTTGCGGGCGAAGACGTCATCCAAAATTATCGGAACCTGGGCATCCGAAGCCTTCGAGAGAGCAACTGCCAGTCCACACACGGAGGTGACTATGAGCGCTTGCCACAACGCGAGCGCCTTGACACGCTCCTTGCGACTCTGATTGTCTCCCCCTTTGCTGATCGGCAAGGCCCGTCTGGCGGGGAATGCAAAACACTTCGGAGGTGCTGGATCTGGTTCTTGCACTTTGGGTTCCGCAAATGTCGGAGGAGAAGTGTACCCACACCCGGACACATAGCTTCCAACCGGATCCCAAGGAGTCGGTACTTCTTTCAGAGTTTGGATGTCACCAGTCCCCAAATCACGTTTGGCAGCTAACAAGCGGATATCATGTTGCATCACGTCACACCCGCACGCAAAGGGCTCGGCTGAAGAGATCTCAAGTGTCGTTGACCTAAGGAGTCCGAGAGTTTCCTCCCCAAAGGCGAGCAAGAGGGCCAAGGATCCAGCCCAGAGCCCAATCAGGTGCCAAGCACTCGATAAGGTCCTGTCACTCACCCAAGGTGAGAATCGCCAATCGCCCAGCAATCGCGATGTTAGCACTCGACTCTGTCGGGCCCCAGGCCTTCGAGAGAGCACGCTCTCGCAGTCGTCCCACAAATGGCCGAAGTGCCTAACAATACGTTTTGTTGAGCCCCAAACCGAACGGCCTAAATGAGGTCCGGACCAACGAGGTGAAGAAGATCCAAAGGGTTCCCCCTTTTCCCGATGGAAGGGAAGTACCGTCGTGCAAGCGACCTATATGCCACAGAGAACAGTACACCCATTCACAATGATCAATAAGGTGAGCACCCAGTGCTCGCAGCAGTGTAGCCAACGCTTTCTAGGTATCAGAAAGTCAAGAGCGGCTTACTCTCACTTGATCTTGGGCCCACACCTCAATCAGGATCGAAGCTCGCCAACCTCAAGGAAAGCCCAAGCTTCCCTATGCAAGGAGATGCCCGGCATCTCCCTGCACAGCACACTCCTCTGCGCTGCACAACTTGAGGCTGCAGCTTAAAGCAGGCAGTGTGCCAGAATCACCTGGCAAGTCTCAGTTGCCCAGCAACGAGGGGCGGCCAAAAGCCAAGGGCCAAGCCCTGTCTCACACGTGGACTGTGTTCCACCAGCACAACCTGAGAAAGAAAAAGGGTCGCCCAGCGCCCAAAGAGGAGACTCAACCCTAAGAGCCCAGCTCGAAGGGTCGACTCACTGAGGAGTCTCCAAAGCTCACCTGAATGTAACAAATTTGTGGCACCTGCGTCAAGGTAAGAGAAACCCAGACTGAGGCATCGGCTCACTGGCGTTCAAGCTCACGCCACCAAAAGCTCAACAAGAAGCTCAGAGCAAAACTCGCAAACAGGATTCGTTCAGGTATGCTCTTTCAGAACGGTGCATCATACAACTGTCTAGGGCATTCCAAAGCGCGCTCAAAGCATGTATCCTTCCTTTTGCACATCTCAAGCCATGCAGGTTTCGGCAGGAGTTTTCTAGGGCAGACATCACCCCCATACCCCATGGGCACAGGAAAATAGAGCTCCTGTCAGCAAAGCCCACAGAACCCCCCAGAAAAGTAACAGCGAATCGCGACAAGCATATCACTGCTAGGAGTCTGCCGGAAAGCACGTGCATCGGCTGCAGGCAGGCAGGAGGGTTTAGGGACCGCGGCTTACAGGAAGGGTCTGAGAAACTGCTCTAAGCGCACCAGACGCGCCACGGAGGGCGAGCACAGCAGCTTCAAGACGAGCAACACGCCTGTCCAAGCTCCTGGAAAAGTTGGCGTCGATAATAGCACCAGTAAAAGACTCAACATGATCCAAGCGACCAGCAAGAGCTCGCAGCGTAACCTGATAACCCGCCTGGCTTGTCAGAAGTGGCAAAGGCTAGGCCGGCCGCCCGAAGCGGTCAACTCCAAGCATGCTCTCGATCCGCTGAAGTCTCCTGACCAAGGAGACTCGGTGCTCGCTGTCGATGATAGATCCAGTAAAGCCCTCCAAGTCATCGAGGCGACCAGCGATGGCCGCAAACTGTTCACGGAAGGAATCGAGACTCGATTCCAAAGGGTGCGCGAACTGTGGGGCGCACACAAGAACCGTGGCACCAGATTGCGAGCGCCAGTCACCACAAAGATGCTCCTTCTGCACGTCCGTCAAGGAAGCATAGACATCTTCCACATCGCGAGGAGAGCAAACATCACCACTCTGGCTGAACCCGAGTGAGTCAGCCTCGGAGCAGGAGTCCCAGGTCGAGCGAATCTGCAGCTCCGCTTCAGGTTCTTGTACGATCTGCATGTCGATTGCGAAGCGATCACACGCGTGAGCGAAGGTCAGCGCCTGAGTGCGGGCGAAGCGACGGTCCGGCTGACTGGCAGTGTGCATCCAGAGGGCCTTCCTGGTCAAGGGGGTCCCGACAGTCAGGGAAGAGCTCATCGTCTGCAACGGGATTCCTGCTGAAATGCACCCTGAAGCCGCAGGAAGATATTGGCGATATCCAACTCAGTAATGCGATCACAAGCAACGGTGAGCGTAGCACTCTCACTGAGCTCAGGCGGAGGAGCCGCAGGCTCTGCCCTGTTCATCTAGCACCCCCAACGGGGGGGCACCGTGCACTCAGCTAAAGCCTTGAGATTAGCACCTGGAGGCTAGTAGCCAGCACAGTACGGGACTCTAGAGAGCCTGACAAAATTCTCGCCCCACCTTTGCCAGCAGGGCACTTGAGCACAAAGCTGCCCGGTTTGCATTCATGATCAACACCACAAGTGATTGATGCCACGCAAAATAATGGCAAAAGCTTGAGGGCGAGAGGACAAACACATGTTTGTTTAAAACATCCAATTTGCACAAAACAAATTTCCACCGGTTTGATTCGATTGACGGATGCACCCAGCGCATCCTTTTCACACAAGGCAATAAAGATTTATCGCTCCGCGATGTGTTTCTTGAAGGGAAAGGTCCCAGCTGCAGACGTGGCCAGCTTGTGGGGCGGCCCCAAGAAAGGAAGGCCACTGTCGGATGAGCAAGAGGGCGGCCGTTGGGTTAAGGCGGTTTTGACGTCGTTCGATCTTGCGTTGTTTGCGGGTTATTCCTTTGAGCCGGTCAGGAACTATCAAGTCCACAAAGACTGCCAACAGCTGTCCTTGACGAAAGGCAAGCCTCAGAAGGCAACCCTCGGAGGGAGGCCGGTTACCGCTTTGTCGATGCGAGAACCAGCCAGTGTTTTCCGCAGGCGAAAAGCCATGGGGACACGATAAGCCAAGCACGTATGTGCCAAAGCTGAGACAGTCTTCCACCTTCAGCACCACCGGTAGCCCCTGTGCGAAGCGCCTGGTGGTGTCCTGGTGCGACATCCGACGGTTCTCCTGCCCAGTGTCCTCGAGTGCCGCGCCCTGGCTGTAGACATGGAAGTGCAGGAAATCCACCACTCTCTCGAGCGACAGCTCACCGAGAGACGTTTGCACTGGTGCCGGCAGAGGTAAACTAACCGACTTATTCTCTTCATAGCACCGCAGCCGCACTTCCTGAATGATCCAGGTCCGCAGCGCTGTAATGCAGTGCGGCAGGGAGGCTGTGGTGACGGTGCGAACCGCCTCGCAGAGGGGTTGCGGAAGGGAATCTACGGTGCCTAGCCTCTTGAGCGATTCCACGGTGACACGGTGCGGGAAGAGGGCAGCCATAACCTTGCCAACCCCACTATCTACAAGTCCCCGACTACGGTAGAAGTGAAGAGCATGGAAGGCCCATTCCAGTTCTTTGTCCTGGCTACGCAGGGGGGTACGCGCGTGCGGCGGTAACATCCACCTGGGCCGGCAGTGCAAGGCAAGTGCGGAGGAGCAGGTGGGAGTAGTTGTGGCACTGGAGCCCGAAGAACTCGGCCGGTACATTGGTCAACCAATGCAAACCTCCAACGCGTATACCTGGGGCGGCTCGTATGGCGGCCCACGCGAACTCGGTGGGCACCCATGGGCACAAAAAGTCGTCACTAGCATGGATAATCTTTAACCTACAAGGGAGGCTCAAAGAGCCAGTCAGGCATGCCGACAGCCCCGATCTCCACGGCAGCGAAGGTCGCACCATCAGCTGCTACGTTGCCAGAGGCGGCGGGCCGCCCCACTGGCGGGAAGAGGCTGTCGCCCCACAATTTGCGGAGAAGCACACCCACCAGGCTTGCCGTGTAGCTGCCTGCCGAAAAGCCACGGACGGTAGGCCGCGCGGGGCCAATGCTGGAGAAAGCAATGCACAGGGCTGCCAGACACGCGGAGTGGGGATCCTGCAAGTGAGAGCTGCGGCGTGTTCTCTGGAGCTGCGCCTCAACAGCTCGGGCCTCCTGACCTGTCGCAGAAAACCTCACACCCAACATGGCATGCGCTAACTTGATGACCGGCAGGGGAGAGAGCAGGAGGCTGGTAAATCGGCCAGTGGCGCTAAGTCGCGCCGATGCCGTCGCCGACAGCTTGGCGTAACTCTCGGCGAGGCAGCCAGTCGGGCCATAACACTGGGTAGAACACATGAGTTGCCAAGCATCGTTGCGTGCCGGGGCGCAAAACGTGCTGGCGCCGGAGCACTCGATGCGTACCTCAGTCGCCGAAGGGCAGCCAGCCCCCGGGCGGTCATCGTCATCTGCATGGGCCATGTCAAAGCCTTTGACCGCACGGTAAAAGTAGGGTACCAGGTCGTGGTCCGAGACGACCAATGTCATCATTTGCTCACCTGCGGGGGATGGGGCAGAAATGGCCGCCACTTGCTCCAGCTCCGTTGCTGGCAAGAGGGCACATATCCGCCAGTGCGCCCACGTGCGCATGTGAGGCGAAAAGCGAGGCCGCGTTATACGCCGGAAAGGGAATGAGCGGAGGCGTTCCAGCTGCGCCAGAGGGGCCTTGCCATTGGCACCATAGCCGTGCACAAAGGCCGGGCCTACACATTTGCGATCCGGGGGAAGCGTTTTGGCCATGAAGAGGAAGGGCCCCGGCAGGCTGCACACCCTGCAGTGGCTAGAGCTCAAGGCAAAGAGAGTGGAATTAGCACACTGTTCATGGGCCCCTCTGGCCCATCCCAAGGCTTCCTCGTGCGGCTGCAAGACTTCCCGTAGGGAGTCATCCGGATTGGGCGTTTTCATGCTAGCGTTGAAGCGGCCCTGCGCATTCGCATGCCAGTAAGGCAGCTGCAGGACCGCTCCCAGGTATGCCCAAGTGGTGACAACATCTCCGCTGTGCCGTGCTTGTGCACCAAAAAGTGGAGTACCTGCCAAGAGTTCTGCTGTCCGACGCTCCCGAGGTCTGGGACGCGGCAGCGTCGCCAGGTGTGCAAGTTTCGACAGTAGAAGTGGGACAACCTCGGCAGACCACTCCGCCAAAACCGTCGGGG